ATCTCGTCCCGACTACGATTCAAAAAGTAACTGAAGATTCCCGACATGTTTTTGGTTTCCGCAAAACAAGCTTATTAACGACCCATAACTTGTTGAATGTGCCTCTCAATGTTGTTTATTGCAACTTAAATGCACTACTTATGAATCTTTCTCTTCTTTTTTATTTTTATTTTTTTATTATGAGATTTGTGTGAGACCATTTGTTATAATTTTTGCTAATAGCTTATATAATTTATAAAAATAAATGTGAGTATTAAATTTTGACCTCACAATTAAATCGGATCTCTTCGCCAAAATCCTGAGAACTAAGCCGTAAAGCACATGCAAAAATAGAGAAACTCAACACTTGCACACAGAAAAACAATAAGACCAGTGGCTTGTTCACCCAGAGTATTCCGACGATCAAGTCAGTTAAAAATTTCACAAAATATCGACTAAGCAAATAACTCTCAAGTAAAAAAATGAATAGTGTCCTCGTTCCTAAAAATTTTATTTGATAGGACTCTATCCCTTTGAAGGATAACAACAATCTAGGACTCATCCTATTCGGATTACGATGACCTCAGAAGTCCCACTTTTATTCAAACAGAGAGCCTATCAACATGTAGAACTCTTATCCTTTATCCAATTATCTTGGATTATCATATCACACATCGGCTAACCACGATTATCCCCGTGTACCTCGGCTAACTACCTATGCCATGTGGACAACTCACAAATTATGTCTCCACAATAAATATATATATATATATATATTTTCATTTTTCTTAGTAAATCTAACACCCAAACAAAATTTAAGATTCATTGAGAATCTAAAAATAGATAGAAATCACACATTAATGTCAGTACATTAAAACCTTTGAATTGATTAGGACACACAAATTAGATGTCCATTTCATTAATCTAATCAACTTCACCAAGTTATCTAATTTTGTTATAATTTTATAAAACTTGGTAAATCTACGTAACTTAACTCTTAAACAAATATCTTATCAAAAGGGTAAAACCCATTAATTTTTAGGTAATTTTCAATTTACTTGATGTTAAAAAAATGACATACCTAATGTGACTAGTCAAGTGGTAGATCACTAAGAGATATAATGTGCATTTATTTATAACTATATTAATTGATTTTTGTGGGGATATATTTTCTGAGTACCAATATGTGGCAAGGTGACGCCGACGTGTCAGCCGACGTGCCACGTGTCCTGGTCGTGACGCCGAGGTGATCTCGGCAAGGCCGAGGTTATCTCCGAAGATATCTGAATCCGAGATAAGTGGATAAGGGACAAGAGTCCTAGAATGAAAAGGGAACTCAACCTGGATGAGGGACAAGAGTCCTAGAATGAGAGAAGACTTCAGTTTGTATTAAGATAAGACTCTTAGAGAGTTTATCCTAATCTTACTGGGAGTCCAAGATTAGCAGCAATCCTAAGTCCATAGAAGTTAGGCATTTATTGGGACTAGGTTTATGTTGGCTATAAAAGAGAGGCACCCCCATGGGTCTAAGGTATGCTTTTTAGGCTCAAGCTTGTGAGTTGAATAATTGACTATCTTTGAGAGATATACTGACTTGATCGTCGGAGTGCCATCGGGTGGACGAACCACCGCGGGATTCTTATATTTCTGTTGCAGGTCAGTCAGGTACCATCTATTCTACCAGTGCTCCCCAGCTGAATTACTGAGTTGGCAGTGTGGTCGGAAAATTTCCTACACACTTTCTCTCATTTTCATTCCTTTTCCTCTTTCCTCTTTAACACTTGATGGGAGACCAATATTGCAAAACCCTTTCCCACCCTCCAATCCCTTCCCTTCTTTTTCTTATCGTTGTTGCTTCCTTCCCTTCCTTTTCTTAGCGCTGTTGTTGCCACCACTATTTTGCTCCCCTACCACTCTAGCCCCCTAACCCAATCCACTCTTATCCGAAAACCTAATCACTATAGTTATCTAATACCTTAAACCCTGTATTTGTGATACTATAATCATATTATCTTATTGTTGTAAAACATGTTTAGTACAACTACCAACAATGTTCAATGTAAGTATAACATGTGCATGGCTGTAAGTATTAATTAATTTTGGTGTAAATGCAAACATTCACCAATGCAACTGTGCAGGTGTTAGCTATATCCAGTGCAACTTAGGGTTGGTTTGAGAAGTGGGTTGGTTTTTTGGCTTTTTGATTTTTTTAACTATTTTAACTTGGGCTAAAAAATTTAGTTTTTTTTTGTGAAAGAAGAGTGTAATAATTATGGATTGGATGTGATGTTTTGTTTTTTGTAGTAAAAATAACCTATTTTGTTTTTATGACTAAAATAGCCAAAAAAATTCCTAACCCATCTTGCCAAACGAAGGCTTATATAGAGTTATTACACTTATGCACACAACACTTCTCTCCAGCTGAATTACTGAGTTGGCAGTGTCGTCGGAAAATTTCCCACACAATTTGGCGCCGTCTGTGGGAAAGAAAGAAAAATAGATGGCCAATAAAAGAAAGAATAATAGATGGCCAATGACGGACAGAAATCACTGTTGTATATTCACTGCCGGCAACTCACATCGCTCTGTATGAGAGGCGGATTGAGTGTGAATATATTGCAAGAATTGAGAGGGTCAAACATGCTCTTTTCGAGGGATTAGAGATGGTTTTTGGACCGGTGTAATTAGATGGGTCTGGGGTATATGAGACATTATTTCTATTTTTTGGGTTGATGTCTCTATGCTGGCTCTTTTTTGAGTTTCTAGTATAGAGCTTCCACATGCAGGTGTTTCTCAGCAGTCGCACGATTCATTGGCTAGGATGTGATTGTTTAATATTTGGGGAGATTGAGATAGAGATGTGGCTGTGTCATGCCAACTCACGAGCGAGTGGGAGATGTTAGAATTTGGGCACTCATGTGGCATGAGCTATGAACCTTTTGAACCTTATCCATGTAAGTTTGAATTTGAATTCAAAACTTATTTGGATAACCACTCATGATATCTATATCTATCATATCAACTGATATGGATAGATTGATATATATGGTTATATATCTGATTATATATTTATATAATATATTGATATCAGATATACGTGATGTGGTTTTTACCTATAACATTTTTTCCCAGACTCTCTTTCTAACCCTCTCCCATATGAGAACGATCCAGCCTCTGCACTATGACTTGTGTGGATGATACTCATATTGTAGTATCACTCTACTGCTGGGAGTTCGTTGTTCGCATTCTTGAAGCACATGATTTACCCACTAGATTCTTCGCTTCAAGTTTTGTCATAACGATATGATCTAGTATTTTTTACCCGCTGCGTTATACTTTGATTTACAGGTTTGCTTTGGTTTGGTTTAACTTATGCATATAAAAGTTCGCATTTTCATTATTGCATTGGTTGTAAATAGTCGTATTCTTATCTGAATCATCCAAATCAAGAATGACTCTGGATTTTAATGGAAAAAATGTAGAATGAAGTATGAACTTACACAAAGAGAGTGAACAATGAAGCAATATCAGATGATTTTATTGTAAACATTGGAGGACAACAACGTGTAGCAATAAAGAAAAATTAAAAACAATGAAGGAACAATTTTGATTTTAGTTTCTTGTTTTTTCAAAAGATGCACATGGATAATTATTATTTTCAACAACTGTGTACAAAGAAAATTTAATTTTAATATTTAGTGTGTATTGATATCCATAATCGTTATTTTGTTTCATGATAAAATTGTAATAAAAAACTTCCTTAATAGAAAATTCTATTTACATGTTACAGAAAAATCTCAGTAGGTATCATTTGTTTGTTTGAATATAAACTTTTGAACAAAATGTAAATATTTACATATATTTTTCGTTCAAGTGTTTATATCCGCATAATTGCTTTTGCTAATAAATTTATATCTAAACATTTTATTTTGTTTAAAAATTTATAGTCAACCATTATAAAGAGTGTGTATTACAATTTTGAGACATTACACATATATCCTAATTTATGAATTTATATTCTATTAAGTTCTAATTAAGATTTTTTGAACCTTCAACTTCTATTAAATTTTTAATAGTCAAAATTGTCCTTTAAACAATAATTGTTTATCATTTATGATTACCTATAAAAGAACATAATGATTTGACATTTATTTTGATTTTTAAAACTTTAAAATATCAACTTTCAAATTGAAAAGCTAATTTTTTTTTTTTGAAAAAATTGAAAAAAATGAATTATTTTTTTTGTGCAAAACTAAAAATTTTGTGTCTATAAAGGGTATAATGATGGAATATTGATGTGCAAAATCAAAAAAAAAAAAACTTTAAAAATAAAATGACAATGTTCTCAATTTGAAAATTGAAAAAAAACTAATGTTCTCGGTTTTATTGGATAATTGAATCAAACTAATAAGTAGAAGGACAAAAACGTTTAATTTCATTCTTCGTTTTTTTATCAGTTAGTGAAACAATTATTTAGAATATTATTATGCAAAATTGATAATATTCTTAGTTTTAAAAATTAGAAAAAAAACTGATAATATCTTTAATTTTACTGGGACTATGCTTGGGAACTAAGTATTTTAGCTAAAAAGTCACTATAAGTTGTCACATTACTCTCTCTATTTTTCTGCATATCTTTTCGTAAAAAGTCAAAAAATTACTAAAATAGTCTGTTCCCCAACAAGGCCTAAATAAGATTTATTAGTTCAAAAAATTTTAGATAGAACCTGAGTTACCATAATATTTGTAAGTAGGACTTTTACATTGTGTTTATTTGGAAATTTAGGAATGGATTTGGAAAGGAAAAATTAGTGTGAAATTAAGTAAAATATAAGTATATTTTAATCATGTTATCTATTTTTTTTATTTTCTTTCCAAATTTCTTAACCAATCACAGTATTAGGTAATTAACTCTAATTTTTTTTTTTTGGTAGTTTGCAAATAGAATTACCAAAAATATAAATAGTGGGCTAAAATAGAATTGCCCGGACGAGGGGGGTTAAAACTTCCGAAAGACAGAATGAAGACAACACCGACGATACCCTCTTAAAAATCTTGAATTTACACCCTTCTCTTTCTTCCCCCACTGCAAAGCCATGTCCGGCACCTCCGCTCCTTCTCGCAAGGTTCTCTCTCTCTCTAGCACATCTCTATAAATATAAATATATAAATATATTTATTATACAAATGCAATATCGTTTATAATCCCTATCTTTGATTGTGTTTGTGTGCATCATTTTCTTCTTTTTGACTTAAATCGTGTTCAGGGTCTGAGCAAGATCGCTTGCAATCGCCTCCAGAAGGAGCTCGCAGAATGGCAGGTTAATCCACCATCAGGATTCAACCACAAAGTCACTGATAATCTCCAAAGGTTCTCTTCTCACTTTCTTTTCTTCTTCCTATTTAATTATTTAATTTTTCTTTTGAATAATTTTGGAAATTAATCTTCTGATTATTTGTTTTTTGGGGGTTATAAAGATGGGTAATTGAAGTCAACGGTGTACCGGGGACTTTGTACTCGAATGAGACTTTCCAGCTTCAGGTTGACTTTCCTGAGCATTACCCCATGGAGGCTCCACAGGTGAATGTATATTAAGTGATACATCTGATTTTTGTATAATTAATTATTGCCCTGTGTTTTGTTGCCCAAAAAAACCAAAAAAAAAAAAAAAAAAAAAAAAAGCTGATTGAATTTTAACAAAATTTTGTGAATATCTTGAGTTTAAATGACCTGTTTATAGCTTATTTTAATTTAATGCCAGACTGGTTGGTATCATTTTGTTTACACTTATTATGCATAAATAAATTAAAATAGCTGGGAAAGAGTTGATTTTAACTATGCTACTTGATTATCAGTTTTTAACTCACGATAAGCTGCGTCAAACAGGGCCAATGCAACAACTGGGAAAAAATTTGAACTTTTATTTAATATAATCAAGTACTAATTAAGTTTAATTAATTATAATTAAGCTCATAAGTTTCTCTATTCATTTCAATTTAGACATCCGTCAGTTAATTTTCAGTGCAACTGATTGTCTCGGTTTGTGTACATTGATTCTTGAGCCAATCTGGGACTTAAGGGACAGACTCTCTCGGGTGTGTTAATATAATCATATGGCCAATCCTGTACAAATAGAATTTAATTGCGTGTTGAGAAATGTAGTGCAAACAATTGTCTCGATTTGCATGCATCTGGGCCCGAACCGAGACAACATCCTCCCCCATTTTCCTCTCTCTCTTAGCTTCCACATCTCTCTCTCTCTCTCTCTCTCTCTCTCTCTCTCTCGTCTTGCATTTCCACCATTGTAAGTGCTAAGGTTTTGGCTCAACCTCCTCCCTTAGATTGGTGATCCTTCTCTTGTACTTAAGGGGTTAGGAAGCTCAAATCCTTGTAAGATTAGTATGTATTTGTGAAAGGGTTTGTTAGCAACATTTGAAACTCGTAGAAGAAATTGAAGCCTTGGAACACTTAAGCTAGATCATCCAACTTCTCTCCCTTTTTCCTCATTTGATTGAAAGCTTTAAGTAAAGGTAGGGGTTCTCTCAATTTTTTCTTAGAAAAACATGTTAGGGTTTATTTGAAGTTAATTATTACATAATTTCATAACTTAATGGCGCGATTAGTATATGAAATGCATTATTTGTTTTGTACATATTCAAATCCATGAGCTATATGTTTGATATATTTTTTATCAAATCACTTTTTTGAGTAAGAGTTAGATTCTTATCTTGAAATCCCTAAATATGTTCTTGGTATGTGATTTCATGAATTTTTAACATGATATTGTCATATTTATCTTGAAATCGTAAAAAACATTATTTAATTAGTTTAGGGCTTTTTCTTCAAACACCAAAAAGTGTAATCTATGGCATGTTTGATGACTAAGGGCATAAAGAATATGTGATTTGTACAACTTTGAATTTTTGAGAAATATTTAAAGTGTTGAGAAATTGGGGAAAATGACGTAGTTAGATTAATCATGGGTTAAAATGATTTAGTCTAAAAGATGGTGTGATTTAGAGTTGATTTACTATTTTTTCATGATTTTTACCCTAGTTTTGCTTATTGGTTTCTTAAAAATATTTGTTTCTATGACTTTTATTATTTTAGTTGTGTTTATGAGTTATTTGGATCATTTGATGAATTTGGGACTAATAAGGGCAAAAAGGTAATCTTGACACTTTAGGGGTAAAGTGGTCATTTGTTAATATTTTGGATTATTTTATTGAAATTGCCACGTAGGAAATTAACTTGGGATTAATGAAGAGTAAATTGGTAATCTCATGCTTTGAGGGCATTTTGGTAATTAAAACTTAGGGTAATTTGATAAAATTGTGCGTTAGGGGCATATTGGGCATTTCACACTAAGAATATATTACTATTATAGCCCTAGGGGCGAATTGGTAAAATTGGCTAGAAAGAGCATTGTTAACAAAAGAATGGCTAAGTGTTGGAAATTACTTTAAGTATCGAAAAGTGGGAATCTAACTAAAGTATTAAACAACTGGTGTTAGTATTTACTAAGTCATTTTTCGAGTGCGTCCCGCTATTATTGATTTTACGGGCTTGGCTCGGGTTATAGGCTTATAGCCAATGTTGAGGTTCAGTACGGTTGAGGAGATCGTGGATCTAACTATCTGCAGGTTAGAACCCCAGACACTGCACAGTTTAGAAAAGTAGTAGCCTTCGGTGGTTGAGGACAAAGTTTCTTTTTGACACGCAGCTTGGAGCGAGCCTGGGGTGTGATCAGGATAGGACCTATTATGTACTTATTTATGGCTTGGACACGAAATGTGTTGGCTAGGCTAGGTTTATTGCCTTGCTGGCAAGTTATTGATGCCTTGTTGGCGGTTATTGATTTCGGATTATTTTTTTTATTTAATTATCCTAGTGTGAGTTAATTAAATAAGATTGGACTTAATAAGATTAAGTAAGTTAATCCGAAAATTGGACATTTCATTGCATAATTTTACTTGTTACGACACTAACATGTTTACGTATTAAGAAATGAGATTACTGTCGGGTGAGAGTGTCAATACTCACCCCCCTGCATTGTGTAGTTACTGATGGACATCCATCGACATGAGCGTCACGACATGGTTTATTTTGTTAAGTATAGACCCTAGGTTAATTTGGACCTGCGTGCTTTTATACCTTTTGTCGGATTATTGTATTAATTAATTTTGGGTTTGTAACTTAAACATTTATTTCAGTTATTGCATGATGTACATCATTTTGTTGGTTTGCGCGCCAAGTGAGGATGTGTTTAGTATGTGCAAGAACACTGGAGTTTTTGAACTTAAAGGATGAATTATTTCAAAAGCTATCAAATGGCACATTTCTCAATGCAAGCCGAATTTTATCAAAAACACTTGTTTTGTCACCAAAAGTTAAGTTAGATTCTATAAAGAAAAAATGGACATGTTGTCCAACCTCATCCAATCTAAGACCATTGGGCACGTTTTACGAGACAAACCTAATTTTGAGAATTTAATGAGAATTGGCTGAGGAAAGTGATTTCAAGGATGAATTAAGTAATAAAGAGAGTTTTACTTAAAAAGCTCACGCTTAAGTTAATTAGTTTCTCTGCCTAATTGATCTTTGAAAATCGGGGTGTGTGTGACAGCCAATGTTTGTTGTCTTATTTGAAAAGAATAGAAGGAAAGAACAAATGCACTTAAGTGGAGGTTTTTGCTTTGGAAAAAAGCTATCTACCCAAAAATCATCCCAGAATGTGTATATTTAAATATAGTGTAGTGTAGTGTGGGTCACACCTAGAATAAATCTTGTCCAAATAACATATTTCATTTGTGGGGATAGTTTTTGGATTTTTGTGTGGATGTGTAATATTGTTTTTTTGCTATTGGGGTTTCACATTTTTACTTCAAAGAATTTAAAATCAAAATCATATTCTTAGGTCACGTTTCTTTGGCTTGTTTAAATGTGTTCCAAATGATTGTGGTCCTATTAATTTTGGGTGGTTTTGTGTTGGTTGGCAGGTTATTTTTCTTGCTCCGGCTCCACTTCACCCTCACATTTATAGCAACGGCCATATCTGTTTAGGTTTGTCTTATTACCTCATACTCATCCCTAATTCTTAGAAAGTCAAGGTGCAAGTATATTTCTTTGTTAATTAATGTTATATGTTGATTAATTCATTGGTTTAGTTCGCATGATATGCAATTGTTGACTTTCATTTGGAGGAGTTATATCTAGTGAATAATATGTTGTGCTTCAAGGCTCAAGCTTTATAGACCGACTGTTCTAAGCATTTCATCTATGGCCAAGGTGTGACTGTGTTTGAACCATAAATTAATTAATTTTTTTTGTCGATTGTGCCCTGTCGATTTAGCCCCTTTCTCATCTTCAAGAATTATATCAATTATGTCCACATCTAGTCTTGTTGATTGTGCCTTGCCAATTATTGTAAGTCGATTCAAACCATAATCATCGTTTAAGAGTAACTACGGCCACATTTTTTATTATTATTGTTATTATTATTATTATTATTTTGATAAATATGGCCACATTTATTATCTATGAAGCATGGACACGCCAGATTTCATGCCGTGGCAGTGTGTGACACGGGGACACGCCGGGGACACGTACGGCGTGTCCCTTTAATTTAATTATTTTTTTTGCAGGGACACGGCGGAGACACGGCGGGGACACCCGTGTCCACCAAATCTGGACACGCGTGTCCAAATCTGGACATAAAGAGCAAAGAGCAAAAGAGAAGAGTAAAAGAGAAGAGTAAAGGTCAAGATACAAGCCTGGTCTTCGATCCAGTCGAGTTGCCTGTCGACCTCCATTCAGTCGACCACCGTAAGTCACTCTCTCTCTCTCGCCTGTCGACCTCCATCCATGACCTCGACCTCAACCTCGACTCGCCTCGCCTCGCCTGTCGACCTCCATCCGTAAGTCTCTCTCTCTCTCATCCTTGTCTCTCGCCTTCCCCCCCTCTCTCTCTCTCTCTCTCTCGTTCTCGCATCGATCGCGTCAATCGCTCTCGCGTCTCTCTGCTCTGATCTGATCTGATTCATATAATATATATATATATATATATTTATTAGGTTTAATATAGGTTTAGTGGAGTAGGTTTAAGTGGGTGAAGTAGGTGGAGAGTATGTGGATTTAGTGGGTTAGGTTTAGTGGAGTAGGTGAGAGTGGGTGAAGTAGGTGGAGAGTAGGTGGTGGGTTAGGTTTAGTGGAGTAGGTGAGAGTGGGTGAAGTAGGTGGAGAGTAGGTGGTGGGTTAGGTTTAGTGGAGTAGGTGAGAGTGGGTGAAGTAGGTGGAGAGTAGGTGGTGGGTTAGGTTTAGTGGAGTAGGTGAGAGTGGGTGAAGTAGGTGGAGAGTAGGTGGTGGGTTAGGTTTAGTGGAGTAGGTGATGTGGTAGTGGTGTAGTGGGTTAGGTTTAGTGGAGTAGGTGAGGTGGTAGTGGTGGTAGGTGATGGTAAATTCTAACATAATTGACACATGACAACAACATACATCTCCCACTTGATTATCAACTTTGCAAAGATCAAATGGGTTAGAAGATAGTGGCCTAGTGTGGCACAATATTGAAGATGTTGACTATCTTCTTATAAAGTGGCAGCATGCACATGAATGGAAACTGCCTTGAGCAGTTACTTAAATGGAAATTGTCTGAATATAAGCCTGTAAATAGGCTAAAGGAGGAGACAAAGGGGACCATAAAACATCTTAGGAGTAGTTGATATTAATCTTTAGGAGTAGAATAACATTAGTTTGAACCACTTGTTGGAATTTATTTGTGATGTTGGCAAAATTTGTAGCCAAATCTTCTGTCAATTGTAGCCTTGCAGAAATTTTGCTAACAGAGTGCTTGCACAATTGCTTGTGAGGCACTGCCACATGTTGTTTGCCTTTGTTCGAAACTTCATCTTGTCTCCAGGTATGTGTCATTAGAACGTGTCCCACCGGGCATGCCAAAATTGTTAGCAAAATTTCTGTTAAAGCCCAATTGACAAAGGCTTAACAACAATTTACCAAACAACAAAAGGAAATCAACCAATTGTGTTGTGGCTCTTTGCGTTGAAAGATTCATGAACTTCTTTCGGATCACAACAATACGTGAGTAAACGAAGAAAAATTATATTCAAACTTCCAAAGTTGACAAGTGAGGAACTAAAATAACAAGATTAAAGGAAACTACTCCCAAGATGAACTATTACTAACTGAATTAAACTATGCTAAGTTGATTTGCTAGTTGTTGGTGATGTCCCTTTTACATTAACCATGAGAGGCTATTTATAGAAAGTGTAGGAAATAACCACCACAAAAGAACCACAAATAACCTCTCACATTCTCCATCTTCATTCTTGGGTTTTTGATTGTCCTCCATCCTTTCAATCTTGATAACTTCTCTTTTAACTTATCATAATCTTCAAGTGATTAAGGGAGTGCCAAGTGTCCTACACTATAACAACAACAATATTAATAATAATTACAATAAAAATTGAAAAACCTAAGTGATTCATGATTAGATCAAGATTTAATTGTTTCAATTCCCAACCAAATAAAACTCATAATCTAAAGCATCAAGCACGTACGAAAGTGATTTAGATTGTTATTTCAAAAACAATGAATTGACACAAACGATTTTTTACGTGGAAAAACCACAATTGAAGCACCTTCAATTGTGATAAAAAACCACGGGCGAAACGCCACAAATCAATCCACTACTGAAAAAAGAAAGATTACAAAGATACCAAACAAATTACCAGAACAGCTTCCAATTTGTCTTCAAATCTTTTGTATGTCTTTCACTGCAACCATCATACAAAATTGATTAGCTTGATGTTGAATCCACAACATCAATTGTCGAACAAACGACTACACAACGCATCAAAATCCTTTGATTACGTTGTGCTTGAATCTTCGGATTCCACCGAAGAAGAATACTCTCAAAGAAAAATCAAACAAACTCCTTGATGTGTGCTTATTAGAACATGAGTTCAAACTCAATCAAAACATCAAGAAAAACCAGGAAAAATAACCCAAAAGAAAATCCTAAGACCCTTAAAGAAGATCTAGGAAAAGTAACCCTAGAGTTGGAGCAACAAGTGTTTTTATAGAGGCAGAGATCGCGCAGTCCGCTCGAGTGTGGGAATGGACGCTTGAGCGGGGACTCTATATCGCGTGTTCCAAACCAGGGTTTACGGTCGAGCGGAAGATCCCACGCTCGAGCGTAAAAACTCAAGCGTAAAAACATATCACTCAGTATTTTTGCAGACACGCAAAATACTGTGAGAGTATAAACTCCGCTCGAGCGTCTCTTTGCCCCCTCGAGCGGGAAGACTAAAACTGGAAAATTACAACTCGATTTCAACCTCAGTTTTTCCATGGAATTTGATAACAAGGGTCTTAACAATCTCCCCCTTTGTCAAATCCCAGACAAAACTGTACTAAACAATTTTCCTAACAAACAACCCAAAACAAAAACTAGCTAAAATAATCAACAACCTCAAAAACAAAAAAACAAAACCACTATAAGAACTGAATGTGACGACCATGAACCATGCAATTCTTGAACAATTCGCCTGAAGAGACAACCACACAAACCAAAATTGTGGAACTGAATAAATAACCAAATATATAAATATCCAAAACAAAAGCAACCCAATATCCAAACGCCAAGCATAATACCTATCCATGCAGAAATAATAAGGCATGCAACAATATCCAAACTCCAAGCATAATACCCATCCATCAGAAATAATAAGGCATGACAAAGTAGCTCAATAAGGCATGCACCAAGTATAACACCCAGAATCCAAAAACATTCCTAACATCCTAACAATGCATCCATCAAGTATCCAAAAATATTCCTAACAATGCATCCACTCCCCCTTTTGTCCAGGAGAGAAAAAAACAATAGAGAAATTAGTGCAACAAAAGATATATCCGTGCAAGAATAAAACTAGCCAAAAAAGATGACTGTGCAACAAAGATCACTGAACTGGTGGCTGTGGAGATGACTGCATCTGGAGAAGAGACAAGATCTGAGACAAATGAGCAGAAGACTGTGCAACGGACTCCTCAATGTACCTGGATGAGGCCTCCAACGTGGTGAGCCGAGCATAAGTAGTAGTCTCTAGATCCGTGAGCTTGGCCTCGAAAATATCCATCTGGCCCTCAAGACGATCAAAATGAGAAATAACAGACTGCTCGAAATGATGGAGCTGGCCGCGGATAGTACGGACTGGAGGTGGCTGCTCCCCCTCACCAACAGCCTCACTGGCAATAGTTGTATCAAACTTAGCCTCCTCGGCCATAGCAGCATCACCTGTACCTGTACTTGAACTACCCACCCCAGCAGGAACCCCCTTAACATGAGACTGACTCTGTGAGAGTCTTTTTGGTGAATGGCCAGGAAGGAGAAGTGAAGTCATCCTCGTCAAACAAGGAAACCTCAAACTTGGCGAGAAACCAGTTAATGAGGCACTCCGTAAGGTAGACCAAGGTTGTTACGCTCAAACGTAGCAACCATCTTTGAAAAATTTAGAAATTCCTTAGATATTGATTTGTGATTATGTAACAATTTTAAGCAGTATATAACAATCTCAATCAAACAATCAAGACAAATCAACACAACGATTTTAACGTGGAAAAATCACAATTGGACACCTCCAACTGTGATTAAAAAACCACGGGCAACAGCCACAAAACAATCCACTAAGAAGATTTAAAGGAATTACACAGGTATACTCTAATTACCTAGCTAATCCATGCCTAATTGAACCAACCTCTATGTGTCTCTTCCAACCCCGTCTTCACCTCGGAATTGTCTTTACGATGAGCCACTCCAGAATCCATCGAAGCTTCAGGCTCGAATTCTTCAGAATCCACCGAAGAACAATTCTCTCTCTCTCTTGTGTATAACAAACAAAACCTTTGATGTACTCTCTTTAAACCATGAGTTGAATACTCAATAAAACATCAAAGAAAATTAACAAAATATCCCCAGATGTAAACCTTAAGAACCAAAAAGAAGATCTGGAGGAATTAAATAGTTTTGGGAGAAAACCAACTATTTATAG